CATTTTTGTCAGCTATGTTATAAAAGAATTTGCTCATGCTTATAGCTGTGCGTATATCGAGTTATGGATGCACTTGGGAAGTTTGGAGAGCACTCAAGAAGCTAGAGTTGCACTCGGCTATCGCCTCGTGCAACTCTTACGCATCTTTCGTGCTCTTCAAACTTCCCGCGTGCATCCATAACTCGATATACGCACGCTAAGCATGAACGGCAAATTCTTAATTACATTTAGGACTTTATTACATTTAGGGTCGTTTATTACATTTAGGCCTTCTACAACTTTAACCCGACTCGAACTCAAAGTCGAATCCAAACTCGATATTCCGGGATTCCCAACAGAGGCACGGGGCAACTCGGAAATAGCCTATTATATGTATCTTACCAGCACAGTTGCCTGATATCCCTGCAGCAATGACACAAGGGAATATAAACAGATAAAGGTAAAAAGGCAAGAGAAGAGCATACGAAGCCACACTCATGGGGATAGCCTCATACTCTTCATACTCCATTAGCTCTATCTCAAGAGAAAACTCTATCATCAACAAAATACAGCCTGCTCCATGACTGATCCAGTGCAGCAAAAACCAAACACTGAAGGCTGACGCTGTTCTGGAAACTACTGTGCAGAGGTCTTCATGAATTCTAATGACGTCATCAAGGGTTCTATTTTGGACACCCCGTATGAGCCTGAGAGTATCTTGTGCGAATGTACCTGAAGGTCAATCAATCAAAACTGACAAGGTTAAGGGCCAGAAGACGTCCGCATGTCAGCTAATTGTCTATAGCGGTCAGTTAGTTAGTCAGCCACCATGTACTGGATGAAGCCGCATAACTCGAACTCTGATAGCTCAAATCAGTTTTTTTATTTCTCTTGAAGGTTTGAGTTGTGGGCATAGTATAAAACCAGGACTGGACTCTGGACTCTGGACTCTGGACTCTGGACTCTGGACTCTGGACTCCAGATTTTTTCTCAAGATTTTTAAATGAAAAAAAAAGAAAAAATTCCATTGTTTTTAAAAAAGGAAAATAACATGAAAATAAAAATTTTTAAAACTTTCAAAAAATAGTGAGCGCCGAAGTACTCTTTAATGTATTTTCTTGTATTAAATGTCGCTATATTTATGCGAAGGAGAAAAAGTTTATTTTGGGCGAGACGAGGAGTCTGCGACGAATTCTTCTATTCATGCCGTCAAACGAACGGCAAAGCATTATTCATCGCGCGTAAATACCATGCCATGTGTGCCATTGTTAATCGAAAGGAACTAGAAGGATTTTAAAATTCGTCTGTCAATTCAAAAGTTCTGTTACGAAAACTGAACAGCGCGAACTGTGTCGAACTGTGTCAAGTGTCGAGCGTCTGGCAAATAATAATGGAAATCCGACTGTCTGCGGCATTTACCAGGACAAATTATACCATCTCGCGAGGCAGTCTAACTTGGCTTTGCCAGAATTTCCGGTCATAAACCCTCGTTTTTTATTTAACTCGCTAGGTGTTTTTTCTGAATTTCTGGAATTTACCGGCTTTATCTAGAACCCGGCGGACACAACCTTTCAATTATAACTCCTGCGTAACTAAATTTAAAACAAAACTCCAGAAAGTGACACGAACAATAATGAAGCCCAAAGTGCCTTGCATAATGTTATCTTTTTATCAGGCGGCATGTCACCTAATTATCGCGCGGTCTCAGTCCTTC